AGCTTATCACTTGGGCTCTCTATCACTGAAAGATGTAGCCAATGGCCAATTTGATTTCTACTGACCACTAGATTCTTTGAGACAGTACATATCATACATCTCCTCAATGGATAATGCATATCCTGAAGACCACTTTCAATTCCAACCTGTATTTCTTCACGGCAACCATTTCTAGCTACCATACCTGCTATTTTTATCCCTACACTCATTTTCTGGCACATTATGCTTTCTTAGCCTGCATTATTATAGGACCAAATACGATCCTTGCAATAACTTTTTATCAAAAATCATAATGCTTCGTACTTCCATGAGGAATAAGGTGAACTTTCCTATACGCGGGGCACGGTGCCAATGATTTATTCAGATTAGCCAAAAAACAAAAATGATTGTGAATCTCATTTTTTTTGGAAGGATATGCAGCATAGTAAATCTGGACAATAATAACCACATCAAAGCAGACTGGGATAAAAATGCATATCATTATAAATCTCTATAGTGAGATGAAACTAATACTAGAAAACTAAAGAGACACAAATGATAAACACACACAAATAAGGCAAGGAAGTGGTATGCATACACTAACCTAGGAGAACCCGCGCTGATGATCCTATGAAGAATCCTAGCAGCACCAGAATCCCCACCATCAATCAATTCTCTCAACCCCAAATTCCCTATTTTCTCTTCCTCCCCCTCCTCCTCGTCTTCCTTCTCTTCCTGCTCCTGCTTAGGCGTGGAGGTGGTGGGGGCGGCGGTCTTACCAAGAAGCCTCTCGAAGTAATTCCCATAAATGTACTCAGGGGTATACCCATCCTCTTCATCAAAAAGCATGATATGTCCGTGCCACTCCCATACCCGATAATCCGATCCTTTTTCCTCGTGAAACCCAACACAGATGTGGTGTTCGCCGATTGTAACAGCCTGGCCGGAGTTGGGTTTCAATGAATCGGTCTTGCCTGAAAGGATGACTCGAATAATTTCCTTCTCGAGCTTGGACTCTTCTTTTGAGAGCTGGGTTTTGTTGGTGTCATCGTCATCGTCATCGTCATCTGAGGAGCCATCAACGTTGAAAAGGATGTCTTCGAGAGATTGAGAAAGGAAAGGGTATTGAGGAGGAGGAGGATGGATTTGGAGGCGACCCATTAGGGTTTGGAGTAAAAGATTGTCGAAGTTAGTGAATGAGCTCATGGCGTTTGTGTTTTGGCTTTTGTGAAATCGAACAGGTCAGATAATAGAAGGGTTTTAGCTTTTGGGGTTGAAGGAAAGGAGAGAGTGAGGGTTTCATTTTGGTGGGGCTTCGTTATAGTTTTCCTTTTTTGATAATCTCAAAATTAGTCCCCAATATTTTCTTTTTTTCATTTTGGTTCCCAAACTAAATTTTACATCCAAGAGCCCCCTTCTCGTAACAAACATGTCTACCATCTTATAGGTGATGCAGGGGATAAAATAAATATATATAAATATATATTTTTAATTTTTTATGAATTTTATTTTTTATTTGATTTCTATTCAATATTTAAAAAATTTCTAATTCGTTTTATATAAATGGTTGTAATATGAGATTTGAATGAATAAAAAATAAATATTTTGAATGTTTTCTTTGTGTATTTGATATTTGAGATTTTAACTTATCATATATTTCCTGTCCGTATTATTGTAGGAATCCAATACATTACGGACTGATTATTAAAAGTAAGATACATTGAAGATTTAATAATTGGTTGACAATGAAGAGCTTTAGGACCAAATAAAGAAAATGATTATTTTTTTATGAAAATAAAAATAAAAGGGGTATGGACTGGGGATAACTAGTTTACTAGCTCGTGTAATATGTTGTTGATTCAACTAATTTTTATGTTGTAATAAATTATTTGATATTATTATTAAATTTAATTTAATTTTATAAGTCAATTTTAAAATTAATAGATTGATTTAGCTCAAATTTAAAATTAATGGGTTGAAAGTTGCCTTGACATTAATATTTAACTTGTTAGATATAAAAGTAATTCGAATAATCGGTAAAAAAATATGGTTTGGTTTAAAAAAATTAATATAATATTTTTTTAATATTAAAATAGTAACATATTGAATCAACTTGAATTTCAAAGTTTAACCTGTCTAATTTGTAACCTAGATTATAGACTCCACTGAATTTAATAATTTTTTTAAATTTTTTTTTCTGAATGATATTATAAAAATAATAAATATTCTCAACATTGAGTACTGATTAAATACTAGGATATTTATTTAAGATAGTGATAATTTTATGAAAAACAAATTAAACTAAATTATTAAGACCAATTTGAGATTGACCAAATATTGAACAATGAAAAAAAACCTAAAATGATTCAATAAAAAAAGAAAAAGATAAAAAAAAGGCCTCCTATTTTAATTGGTCATCATTAAATCCTCTCGACCTAACTCTTTATCTAGCATGAGATTAAAATTAACTTGAATGAAAGTTGTTTCAAAATGATCCCGTCGACTTGGTAAGTTTAAATATAACTTATAAGATCGGTAAAAAATATAATTTGATTTAAAAATAAAATTAAGATTTTTGTTTTTAAATTGAGGCAGAGACATATTAGATTGACCCGAGCTTTACCATTTAAGCCATTAGACTCGTGATTCGAATCATGAACTTCATTGGATTTAGCATTTTTTTTTTTTTTTTTACTTAATGATACACTAATAAAAATAGATACTCATAAAATTAAACATTAACTAAGTATCAGAATGTTTGTTTGAAATTATGATAACCTTATAAAAAGCAATCCAAAACAAATTATCAAGGCCAATTCAAAATCAATGAAAGGTTGAAATAAAAAAAAACACCAAATAGGATCTAATCGAAAAAAATAAAATTGAATGATGGAATTAAAAAGAAAAGGACAACTCCTTCACTGTTTATATGAATAATTAAAGAGCCCAGGTTTGACCCTAGTTCTCTTAGTTTAGAAGGCTAGTTTATATGCTCATGTTGTATTACATGTCAAATCATTTTTTTCAAAGTAATAATAAAAGATAAGGTCGTGGATAACTAATTGCATTATTAATAAACATGATCTAATTGATTAATTTTAAAACCTCCCAATATAACTCCTTACTTAACATAGATTTAAAATTAAAATACATGGGAGTTGACTTGACAAAATTAAGGTCATGGATAACTACTTGACATTGTTAATAAACATGAACTAGTTTATTAATTTTAAAACCTCTTAACCTAACTCCTTACTCAACATAGATTTAAAATTAAAATGCATGAAAGTTGACTTGATATGACCTATTAAACTTGGTTGGTCTAAAGACAATCTAGAGGGTTTTAAAAAGAATCCAATGATGAAATTGATAAAAAAAAATAAAATTGAAAAAAAAACCCTTGATTTAATTTCATGCTTAGCTTAGGTTTAAAATTAAAAATATAAAATTTATTTTTATTTGACTAGTTAGCTTAGCCTACCTAAAGACAATCTAGATGAACAATGAAAAAAAATCTTAGGATAAATAAAACAAAATTAAAAGAAAAAAAAACTCTTGATTTAACTCATTTCCTAACTCGAATTTAAAATTAAACATATGAAATTTTTGCCAACATGATATAGTCACTGATCGATCTAAAAATAATTCAGTTGACTGGTATAAAAATTAGAAGAAAGAAATTGAGAAAAAAAAGAAAGAAATATAAAAAAAAAAGAAAAAAGAAAAGAAGAAATTGAGAAAAAAAAAAGAAATATATATATAAAAAAAAAGAAAAGATGCTTCACTATGTATGCCTCCAAGGTTTTTAGTCTGTAGTATCATTTTAGAAGCCTACATTGTGGGGTGGGATTTTTTTTTATATATAAAAAATAATGTTAAAAAAGGATTAAAACTCATTAAAAAAATATAATCTCATAAAATTTTTTTGTTAACCTAAATTAATCCATTAAATCAATGACTCAGGTCATGAAACCTAGATAACTTATAAAAAAATAAACAAAGAAGATACAAAACCCATTTCTTTTATAAAAAAAACCAATGCAGAATAATGAAATACAAAACAAAAAATTAATATCAACCTACATTAATTTCTCAAACCTATAACCTGAGTCAATAAACCAAAAGCACCCCATTTAGAAAAGTTATAAATTTCAATCTCTAATTAATCAAATATTAAAAGATAATTTTTTTAAAAAAAATTATACAAAAAGATCTAAAATAAAAAAAAACAATTAAAAGAATGAGGATCAATATTAAATTAAAAAATAAATTAGAGGAAAACTAAATTTTCTTGATTGAAGGGTGAAATTAAAATTAAAAAAAATAAAGATCAACATGGAAATAAAAAATAAAATAGAGGATACTTAAATTTTTTAATTGAATGGTGAAATTAAAAATATAAATCAATTTTTTAAAAAAATCAAATAATGATGATCGAAATTGAAACAAAAATAAATAAGAGAATAACTGTAATTTTTTGATTAAATAGTGAAATTAAAAAGAAAAATTAATTTTAAAAAATAAAATAAACAAGAATTAAATTAAAATAAATAATATATCATAAATTAAAATTAAAATTGAAGGCTAAATTATAAAACAAAGTGGTGAGAAAAAAAAAGAGAGTAAAAAAGCATTGCCGGTATTAAACCGCTACTTCAATATTGCCATGCCTTACCCTAATAGGAAAAGGATGATGTGATGCTCTTAACAAGAAGACAATAGAATTTTTTCGGGCTTTGGGAGGCATCCTCCACTCTTCTTGAAGGGTATGAGTGCCTCACTCATGCTGACACATCGAATGAGAATTTTTGAGAAATACAAAATCATCCGTGCATGTTCCAAAATTTGTGCTTATATTTTTTTTCCATGTCAAAAAAAAATAAATTGTAAACACTTGCACATTTTGCGTTGATTATATTTTTTTTCCGTGTCAAAAAAAAAAAAAAAATTGTAAACACTTGCACATTTTGCGTTTGAAAGTAAAATTTATCCAGCCTATTACAAATTGGGTGCCACATAGCTAATAAACACCAAGTAATTGCATATAGTATTACATTTTTTTCATCATATGAAAAAATAATTACTATCGTTTCTCACGTACAAAAAGTATCACAAATTCAAAATAAGTGAAATCAAATACATACAAATTAACAAATGATGGCAAAAGGAAAAAGAAAAGGAAAAAACAACAAAAAATAAGGCACCATTATGAAGTCAAGCCACCACCAGAATTTCTTTTCTTCGCTGTTTATTACAACTATGAAGCATGCAATCCTAACATAATCGTCGTCATCGTGCACATCTTCAAGCATCGGCCTGTCATTTTTGTTTGCCGGAAAATCTATCGCCTGAGGCTCTCCACTATGTAGTCCGCATAAAGATTCCTTCACATAGCAGAAAAATAGCATGAGAATAAAACCACAATCCACAAAACAAAATCAAATGACAAGATGAAGAGTGCAAGGAAATGAAAAAACGCAAAAGGAGATGAGAAATAATTAAATCTGCTAGACAAAGTGTCTTATTCTAAGACACCCTAATCCTGAAATCATGGGTTACTAAACCAAGTTCTTAGTTTTGGCACCAAGTTAAATGTTCAAAGGTTAGTTCGTTGGTGATTTCAATCCATTAATACAAAAACTCTATGAGCAACAAGAACTTAACGTCTTATGCTTGCTTCTGGGATCAACATACATTTTCATCATAGTCTAGATATAGACCAAGCAGCTCTATCAACAAAAGAAAAGAAGGCAAAGGCAGCTGCTTCTCTCCTCAGGAAACAGATGTCTTAAAGGGTGTGTGAGTTTGGATTAGATTCTCGATGAGACTTGCCACTTACATTGAATGCTGGATTGCCTCATAGGCATCAGAGGCCGGCAGAAAGTCATTAACAGCAACCTCCTTGTTCTCATTTTTCTTGTCTGAAAGTGCCTTTAAGGAAGAGAAAATAATCTATTTCAACTACTTCATAATAAGGACCAGTGTAAGCTTAGAACCTATGCTTCTAGATACTGCACATTGTTCCGCCTGCTAAGATTTTATCTTTTCAATGGGGAGCTGCAAAGAATTAAGAAATAATTGAAAGGATACAATCTTCAAAGAAACGACGGATCTCAGCTAAACGATGTGGTGGCAGTTCCTTGATATCATTGTAGTGGCGGTATTCAGGATCATCAGCACAAACCGCAATTATCTTGTCATCTTTCTCACCCTAAGTTTGTCAATGTCAACAAATATAACTAAATAAAAAGCTTTTTGTCCAGTAAAAAGGAAAAAGAAAATACTTTTTTCCAACTGGGGATATGTACCTGATCAATCATTGGCATGAGTCCTATAGCTTTAGCGCGAAGAAAGCATCCTGGAAGAACTGGTTCCTGCATTTATAAATTTATTTATTATCAGATGATAAAATATTTCACAAGCTCTGTATATTTAAAAAATTGTCCTGTATGTATGCTCACATGCTGAAGTCATGGTGTGCATAAAAGAAAGTAACAACTCTTTTTGAGGTTTTAAATTGTGGCAAACCTCAAAACTTCAAAGAAGCCCATGAGATGGAACCAATGAGATTCTAGGCAATCATGCAAACAAGAAGACACATGCATGGCGATCACAAAAGAAATGAGGGATATTTGCAAGAAAAGGTTGCATCAAACAACATGCCTGCATGATAATCAAGACATCCATGGGATCGTTGTCCTCACAAAGAGTGCGGGGGATGAAACCATAGTTGTGGGGATATACAACTGAAGAGTAAAGCACACGGTCAACCTGCAAATACAACCATTTAGCAACCTGTTGTAAATTAATGAAGGACACAATTAGGGAGATTACAACATGTTATTACCTTGATCAGTCCAGTTTTTTTGTCAAGTTCATATTTCACCTTGCCCCCTTTCCCTATTTCAATCACCTGCACAAATTCTCCATGTCATCAACGGACCTTGCTTAAAGCAAGATTGCCTAAGGGACTGCAGCTTGTTTACCACCAGTCAGTCAAAGTTCTCAGGCCTTCTCAGTTAGATATTTGGTGAAGCAAGTTAAACTCTCAAAGCAGATACCAAATAGGAAAACAAGTAATTTTATGATATATAAACTACCAAGTTGCTTAGTTGGATCTCATGAATATACAGCTATTGGAAAGCCAAGAAAGTATAAATTTCCATTGAATTGAATTCAACTCTTTTTTTTAGAGAGGCTAAAGAGATAGGACAGTTGGGCATGTACTTCTCAATTATCTATTTTGATTCTGTGGTTACATCAATTTTCTGCTTATCAACAGACTGATGTGATGCGACTAACAATGCAAAGGTTCTTTGAACGGTAAAGAGACGGGGGTGTATGTAAGGACAAAAAATGGTGATTTTAGAGATAACAGAGGAGATATATTTTGGTGGTTCTTTTTTTCTTTTCGTTTTTTTAGTTTATTTCAATCAGTTTTGAAGGGTTCATGGTTAACTGAGAGTATGATCGCTACGGAAGGTTTTATCTTACGATGATGAGCAACTCTAGAGGTTGTTGGCTACGGTGTCCATTTTTGGAAGAGGGAGATCATGTGGATCCCATCAGGGAATAAAGGGGAAGGCAACGATGGGGTTTTTGGTTATACAGGGGAGAAAAGTTTTCAAGGATAACACTACTCTGACTTGAATAGAGATCTCGTCTCCTTTTCAGTTAAGGGCAGCGTGTTTAAATTCAACTGAATCCTGCCAATATAATTCGATTGCATCTACTCCAAACAACAAGAAAAAGATTAATGGAAGAAAAGATTTCTGGTACATCAGTGCCCGATATAGCAGCACGAGTATTCCTACTCTTTACGACTCTTTTTAACACAAAGTAATAAGATTGACGTATTTGTTGGTATTTTATGATATTAATCCATGACAGCATGCTCTTTTCACACAAGTATCCGAGAAACACTACAAAATAAAATGGTGGTAGAGGTTCAATATCCTTACACAGTTGAATATCTTTGGAGCTTCAGGTCCTGAATTGATTTGTCCAAAAAAAAAACACAAAAATATAGCATGTTATTCTACCAACAACAGCAGGAATAATCGTTAATCAAGTATTAATTAATTCTGCATCACTTATATTGACATTGCATACCAATCTCCAGATCATGCCAAGGATGCGCAGCTACAGATCTCCTATTCATTGATGAGAGTATCCTTTCATTAAGAGGTGGATGTGAGGAATGGCGAGAGACAGGAAGTTTACTGGGAGTCTCAATAGGAGGAGCCATGTCTATAATCTGGGAACACAGACATCTAAAGTTTAGACACTGCTGCATTCGGTGTACACTCAGAATGCACATGCAATCTACAATCTACTTAACCACTCATTTTGCAGGCACCGACAATCTGTTGTAGATTCTCAAATTAAGAATGCATCTAAAATAACAGCATTGAACATGGACCAGGACAAACAGTTAATATATTAGCATTAATCACCTGATTTTTCAATCTCCCACGAGTTTCCTTATACGATATGATGCTTAAATAAAATAAAGCTAGCAAAGTTTCGAACAACTTGGTAACTGAAGTCTTCATAAATGACATTATTAAACCTTTTAAATGCAAACAGAAACTCATTTAACTTTCGAAACTGAACTAACACACCGGACAAACATCAACCGATGGTATCATTCTCCAACCGACAACGACCATCACAAAACAGCCTTGTTTCGGTTTTCAAAAGTCTTAACAACGTTTCGTCGGTTTTTTAACGTTTTCGGAATAAAAAACAAAAGGCACAGGAAGATTTTATGCATGGTCAGGCTAAAAATGCTTTGAGACTCGAATATTTTGAGGAAAACATCAAGATTCGAAAATCAAATGAAAACGTAAAAACATCACAGAATCAACAAGCATAAAATCCAATGATCTACATAGCTGGCTATAAACGAAGATCTTTTTCTCCACCCAAGATAATACTCTACAACAATCAGATCCACTAGCAGAAAAGATAGATCACTTAAATCCGAACTGGATTCATACCTCGAATAGTAGCCAGGGAGTCGGAGTGACGGTATGGTTATAATAAGCTCTTCTCAGAAACGAACAACGCGCAGATCTATCTGCTCTCAGAAGAAAGAAAGAAAGAATATTTGGAGAGGAGAGGAGATGAGATGAGATGAGATGACTAACAATAAAGGAAATAAATTCTCTGCTTATTATAGAAAGCGCTCGGGTAGACAAATGAATGCTAATACGCGTTCTCTTCCCGCTCTCTTTCCTTTTTCCCAATTTTAAAGGCCCTAAAAGCAGAATCAACTAATTTAAGGAAACGCAAGTCCTCCAAGTATAATGATACTTTCCCTTGAGTCTATAAACTTCATAATTAAGCAATACCATCCTCCTATTGTCACCCGCTACCCTCAATCACTGCCCAGCAAATACACAAGTAGTAAAGAAAAAAATTAACTAAAATAATATATCAACATTCTTCTCTGCTATTAAAACTAAATTCTAATAGACATGGCATGTATTCCATTAATTTTAAGAAAATATCACTGCACAAGAAATAACATGATTTCACTTCTCCTAATTAATTACAATCACGACTAGTCTTTGCTGCAAGGAGTGCTTAGGGATGGAATGTGCAAGAAAGAAAACAATGAAAATAGAATCCTGTCACTAATTGATGTTCGTGGGGATACGATTGATTAAAATATGATGGATTTAACGTAAAGTGCCTTAATCTTGTGTCGTAGGGACTTAAATAAAATTATCACTAAAAACAGGGACTTACCTGTAGTTACAGTTCGTTTCAGCTCATGGAATCCACGTATATTCGAATATCTCATATCGGATGGTCGCCAGCTGTGCCGTTTTATTACGTGTTGAGTAGTTACTGGGCATCTGTTTTTTTTTTTGGGGACCGACGAAAGACGTTGACGGAGTTCCTAACGGTCCAGCGGTGCTGTTTGTTCAACATTCAACTGGACGTTAAGGTGTCCTTGCTCGGTCGTTTATTATTAACTTAACACAGGCACACGTGTTGAGAAATCTTAATCAGAAATTGGTAGACTTGGCATGAGAATATCGTGCACGGTGTCGTTTTTAATTCTTAGTTGTCCTAACAGAAACCAGATCTCATACCACAACCATGGTATAATTTTTTTATATATATAATTTTGTAGCTTTTTAATGTGTTATTGTAAATAATTTAATATTTATAAATAAAAAATACTTTTAAAAACAATCATCTCAATAATAACAAACAATGCCTGCATCTCCTCTGATATTATATTTTTTTCATGTTTCTTTTTATTTTTGTTGCGCATTTCGGATTTATGGATCGAAGATTTTGGAGGGCCTTTGGAGATGGTTCCTTCCTTCTCATAGCATGAAAATCATTGTGGAAAGGTGAGGGAGTTGCGTGGAAGCGAAAGTATACAGACAGCGTATCAGTTATTCTACCCTACAGTTCCTATCACGCTGCCCGGGATCACCGTGGGAAGGCGTGTCCATTACTCCAAAGCTGGTTGGCCTGCAAATCTCATGCTTTTTTTGCTAATTGAATTGATGAATTTACAATAAGTTATTCTTCTGCTCATGATTTTTTTTTTATGGTTTTTATACGGCAAGAGCGGCAACAGCTTTATTTTAAAAGTGTAGTTCATTTATTTTTATATCAAAATAATATCAAAACGTTAAAAAATATTAATTTAAAAATAAAATAATAAAAAAAATTTTTAAATGTTTTTAAAAATATTTTTAAAATATAAAAATATATATTGAAAGTAAAAGTTGGAGTGTTGCAGTGAGAATCCAAGTTCTTCTTTACTAATTGATACGATGTGGGATTTGACTAGTTTGCTTTTGACCAGGACAAGGGCCGACCACTCAGTTCTTGAAGTAAAGGAGGATTGTTCAGGGCCAGCCGCCGCCGCCTCCTCTGATTTGTTCAATTCTTAAATTCCGATGTCAATTGACATCCTCCTCTTGTCATGTTCTGCTGGAAGGGTGCTTTTTTCTCATTAAGCCTTTCCTTTCTAGTTTAGGTGATGTTTCCAGAAGATATCCGTCCACCTTTTATTTTTATATTTTAAAAGTATTTTAAAAAAAATATTTTTATTTTTATTTATTTTAAATTAATTTTTTTGGATATTTTCATATGATTTTAATATGTTACAATTAAAATATTTTTTAAAAACACTATTATTTTAATATATTTCTAAATAAAAAATAATTTTAAAAATTTGTAATCTCAAAGGAAATAAATGCACACTTCAATTTTATTTTATTTTTTCTTTTACTTCTTTAGGGGTGCAGGATTGCTTCGATTGTACCAACCTATTACTTCTATCAAAAATTTGAAAAAAATTTCAATTTATGATGATTTAGCAATTGACTTTGATCAACTCCGAGGGTTTTTTTTTATAATATTGTTTTTAATAAATAAAATTATCTTTAAATAACAACAATTCATTTTATTTGGTTACGAAATGAATCTGAAAGGATTGCTCTGTTTGTTATTTTATGATTTTTATTTTTAATTTTTAATTTTGAGATCGCACTGGTTGATGGTGTTACAGGAATCTTAGTTAATCCTACTTGCAACAAAGTTAACAGCCTCTGCATGTGAAGAGATTGACATACAATGTAGAGGTTTTGTTCGGGCTCCTACGGTGATGAAGAAAAGACACTCCTGGTTAACTGAGACATGCTTTGCAGACCCAAATCCCCAGATGGTTTTGGGCTTTTTTATTTCGTTGTGATGAATGAAACGGTGCGTTTTACTTGCAAAGAAAAAGAACATGCTTATGAAGATGAAAAGGAAATGACGCCGTTTCATTCTTGTCCTTCGCAGATTTATGAAAAAACTACAACTGTTCATGTAATTTTAGAGCTTGATTTTGGTCCTGATTGAGTCTCGTGATGGCAGAAAAACGAGAGAAACATGTTCTCTGCAGCTAAAAGAATAGGTAGGGTAAAAAATTCATACTTTAAACTTTTATATTTGATTTTAAATATTTTAACAAGTCAGCTAAATAAATAGCTAACATAGACAGAAAATATTATTTTTATATTTCTTTGTAAAAAAAACAGATAAAAGTAAATGAAAGTATATTTTTTCAATTGGTCAATGTTTTTTATTATTTTATATTCGTTGTTTTTTATTTATTTTATATTTGTTGGCCAACATTGTATAATTATATTATAATTAACTTAATATAAAATATATTAAAATATAACTGATTCTTCTAAATGGGTTTTTTATTATTAAAATGCACATAAATAAATAAAAACTATATCTACACTATTTAAAAAATCATTTTATTAATTTAAATCTTTAGTATAGCATTTACCATTAGAAATGCTCTTCTAAGTCACCTATTTTTTAAAAAATTAATTTATTTATTTTAAATTAATTTTTTTGGATATTTTCATATGATTTTAATATGTTACAATTAAAATATTTTTTAAAAACACTATTATTTTAATATATTTCTAAATAAAAAATAATTTTAAAAATTTGTAATCTCAAAGGAAATAAATGCACACTTCAATTTTATTTTATTTTTTCTTTTACTTCTTTAGGGGTGCAGGATTGCTTCGATTGTACCAACCTATTACTTCTATCAAAAATTTGAAAAAAATTTCAATTTATGATGATTTAGCAATTGACTTTGATCAACTCCGAGGGTTTTTTTTTATAATATTGTTTTTAATAAATAAAATTATCTTTAAATAACAACAATTCATTTTATTTGGTTACGAAATGAATCTGAAAGGATTGCTCTGTTTGTTATTTTATGATTTTTATTTTTAATTTTTAATTTTGAGATCGCACTGGTTGATGGTGTTACAGGAATCTTAGTTAATCCTACTTGCAACAAAGTTAACAACCTCTGCATGTGAAGAGATTGACAAACAATGTAGAGGTTTTGTTCGGGCTCCTACGGTGATGAAGAAAAGACACTCCTGGTTAACTGAGACATGCTTTGCAGACCCAAATCCCCAGATGGTTTTGGGCTTTTTTATTTCGTTGTGATGAATGAAACGGTGCGTTTTACTTGCAAAGAAAAAGAACATGCTGATGAAGATGAAAAGGAAATGACGCCGTTTCATTCTTGTCCTTCGCAGATTTATGAAAAAACTACAACTGTTCATGTAATTTTAGAGCTTGATTTTGGTCCTGATTGAGTCTCGTGATGGCAGAAAAACGAGAGAAACATGTTCTCTGCAGCTAAAAGAATAGGTAGGGTAAAAAATTCATACTTTAAACTTTTATATTTGATTTTAAATATTTTAACAAGTCAGCTAAATAAATAGCTAACATAGACAGAAAATATTATTTTTATATTTCTTTGTAAAAAAAACAGATAAAAGTAACTGCGTGAACCGTAAAAAAAAAAAAAAAAAAAGAACGAAAGAGAGGCTGAGCAAGTCTAGAGGTTAATTAGCTTGGATCTTCAAAACAATAACAGGGGTAATGTATTGTTCATTGGGCTGGGCTGTCAAGTCTTAAAGGGAATCAGGTTGGGCTATATAGAGCCCCCTTTTCCCTTTTTTTACTCTGAGTTTGGGCCTCTTGATGTAGATGGCCAACATTCTTTTTCGGTTTGGTCCACTAGTTTTATTTCGGTCTGCGTGCTCATTGTGGGATCATAAAATGCTTTGTGTGGACATGAATGGGCCAACGTGTTTGATTCGTTTCCATTTAAATTGGTGTGGGTTTAGACTAATTATTGCATTAATTCATGTATTTATTTATTTATTTTTAGGATTGATTCTAAATTTTAAAATCAGTTATTTTTGGACTGACATTAAAATTATATTTATTTTATAAAAAATGGAAAAAAATAAACTGAAAAAATATTGATAACTAATGGCAATAAAAAAACAAATCTTATTCTAAATTTTAAGGTAATAATTTGTAAAAAAATTGCGGTGAGGGCGACGTTATTTTTTTTAACATAAATTACTCCAATATCTAAAACTGATTTTTAGAATACTTTTTTTTAAAAAAAAATATTAGATTGCTTTAACAATACATGTATTCATAAAGACAAGACAAATAGTAGTCTGGTACGATGGGCCCGGGTGGCATGGCATCTACACCATAAGCATTATGGAGGACAATGTTTATCACGTCGAGGCAGCTATAAAAGTAAGCCTGTTTGTAAGTTTGTGTTTGCGTTTGCGTTTGCCTTTTCTTTTTCTCTCTACCACAAAAACATAATGTTTGACTAATTAGTATCAGAAGTTATGGTTTAAACAGTGGTCT